TAAAAACACAGAAAAATCCTGTATATGACCTGTCGGGTAAAGTATTTGCGCATGTTTCCTTGAATACCAGAATCCATACCCCACCCAATTACTATTCATAGTTAAATTATGAATGAAGGTACCAAGAAGCGTGTATGGCACGATATGAAAATTTGGTACTTTCGCTTCCTAGAAAAAGTATTGAAATCAGCAAACTAACAATAGCAAACACAACGCTAATACACTATTATTTATAAAATAACACTCCTCTCTACCCTACTTCAACTAGCAATGTGAAAAGTCAACCAAAAAGGCCATGGTAAAGCTATATTTACAGACCAGTCAGAAAACAAGGGGCCCATCTTAATACTTGTTCAATGTATCAAGGAAAACGGACGAAAACCCCCAACGAGATGTGCTCATTTACACAGTCGCTGAACCAGTACAATATTTGTTGCAGGTTTTATTTCATTAAAAATCATTGCTAAAAACAATATTATTTTCCTTGCATAGAGAAAATTATGCAGCGAAAAAGATTTTACATAGCTTTTAATCTTGTGTAATTGTTTAATGTGACCTAGAAATTTGTGTTAAAGTAACATACATGTGTTTGTATGTGAATTTCTTGTAGTTTCTTATAGTAGTTGATACTGTCACCTTATGCATGTGATTTTCTACGACGTGTTTGTTGTAATTTATAAATTTCAATATTGCATGAAAATATGTTCCCACAAATAAGTAAGTCAGTTTTGACAAAAATTACCAATTTGTAAATACGTATGCAATGCAATAGTAGGATTACTAGCTTAATAAAGAGAGGCTTACTACTATCACGCGAGTGAGATCTTGTTATTAGTACAATTCTTTTCTATAATCTAAAAGTCTGGGAGCTGTAGGATGTTTCCCCAGGATATTATTCCATATGTCACGCGGGAATGAATATTCTCGAAATATACACAACGAGCAATACCCCCCCCCCATCGGATGACTGAATTCGTAGCATAATGAACTTAATTCTAAGTTGAAATTACTTATGTGGGGGTTTCATTCAAATTGCGGTTGTTTGGTAGAAAACATTCGACAAACGTAATTTCGTATGAAGCAACCATTCTTTGTGATACTTCAAGCGCTTTTTGTGTTTTCCACAGCTCTATTACAGCTTATCCGAATACACCCCTTTCTGGATTTGCAGGAGAAATGAGAGCGGAGTCAGGGGAAGTTACCCCTGCGAGCAAGCGCGCCGAGCATATCTGGAGTTCGTGGGGTCGCATTTTGTCAAGCCTTACGTACGGCAAACTAGACTCTGCTGTACGCGTACTGCACTTTCTGGTCAGGAAAGATAATGAAGGTAAATACTAGTTTCCATCCATGAGTGCTGGAAAATTTCGTGGTTGTTATTTTATGATCAGTATAACCTCTAAATTTGATAAAAAAAATTGCAATGAAGCAGAATTGGTTTTACCTGACATGTTAACGTGTGTTAAATTCAATTGTTTAATGGCATCTGGCAATGTACTGTAAAATAATGTACATACATAAGATATATATTTCTTGATGAAAGCAATCATTAATTAGATCAGTAATTGCTCATCAGGGATTAGAGAATCTAATGATGAAATGCAGTGTAGTATTTTAGAAAATTATCAAATACTTTTTTGTCCAAGTCTTGTCGCTTTCTCCGATACATCTGAAATTTCTAATTATACATTTTTAATGTTATATTTTAAAAATGTACGTTATCATTTATTGTACATTAAAAACAAATTAATACATGCTCAATAGTTTAGATAACAAGTTTGCTATTTTTCGTTTATTCTTCTTTCGTCCATTTATTTATGTGTACTCACTTTACAAATCACAAAAAAATCGAACTTTGAAACCTGACGATCGATGACATGAATAGAAAGGTAAGATACGCGTATAAAATAATACCTTGAACGCGATACATGTTCACATTTATTTGTTTTAATACTCTAATCTCCGACGGCAATCTCCTAATCCGGATGGTGGTTTTTTAAACCCGTTCGGGAAATATAGTTGATGATTTCTCTCGCTGCATGCAATTGTGCGTGAGGTAGGAACAAGTTTTGCATGTTTCTAAGTGCCACATGTTTTTTGGTCTTATACTAAATACGTACAATTTCCTGCAGTAATTTCGCAGTAACGAAAAAACGTGGAAGGAGAGAAACGTTTTAGTTGAAATAGAGAGAGCCAACAGCAAGAAAAAATCAGTAATGAATAAAAAACAAACATTGGTACTTCAACAGCACATACTTTCTCACATTGGTTGTAACTTTTGCAATTTTTAAAACTTGAGAGATTGAAGAAAGTGTACATGTGACACCTTTAAGCATTCGTTGTTTCATTCGAGGAAAATATGTAAAGAAAAATTGGAGACGTTTCTTGAACAAAAATAGTTACTGCACATAAAAGTAAAAATTAGGGAAAAATTATTAATATTTTTAAAATATGTTCATTATATTATTTAAAGATCTAATTTTTAAAGCATTTTATTAAGAAAAATTTTTAAATTCAGTATTGATGTATTGTAATGATATTTTTTCAATTTTCGAAAATATAAAGAGTTTACCGAAAAATGGGCATGCCCAATTTTTATAGGCGTTCTTGCTGTTATCGAGAAAAAATTAAGAAAAATTATGAGCTGCTTTTGAGAATTTTTTAATTGCCTATATTTCATGCAAAATGTGACGAAAAGTATTCATATTTCGAAAGAATGTACTTGATCTTATTTTAAAAAATCTATCTTTGAAAAATAGATTTTTCTAAGGAGAAAATCTGCACTTTCAATATAATAGTTTGGGAAAGACGCCGAATCTCTATCTGCAAAGAATACTCATGTCGATCGCGAAGAGAGGTCTCTTTTGTGCGTAATGGACGTGGTCATATGGTTTAAATATCTGAAAGGGCAGGTCCTAAAATTAGACCCTGTGGGACCTCAGGCTGAATTGGTGATGATTCTAAAAGATTAGTAAATAATGTTCTTTCCTGCGAATGCGATATTTCTACTCTTACAATCTATCTAGAAGATATATAATCCAGACCAATGCCAAGAATTCCGTACAATGATGATTCTGAAAGCAAAAAGTAATATTCAACGTCATTAAATTCTCTTGAAAGATAAGAATGTGACTAGGAGGTTAATTTTAATCTATTGATGAAGCAATATCTTTAAAATATGAATAATAAGTTTCTGTGTATTTTGTTATCCTTAATTCATTGCGTCAGTCTGAAAATCCTTCATTTTTTTCGATCACGGGTTACACTCGCAAACAGAAATATCTCCCACTTTTTCAAAAATGTTAAGGGAAAAATTGATCGATAATATAAATTTAATTTTTTAAGCACCTAAGACTATCTGAACAGTTTTGAAAGTATTTATAAGGAAGTGTTAATATATTAGTTACCGAGTGTAATAAAATGGCAGACACACAAGCCCTTAACAATCCTGAAAAACTTCTAAATATTTTTTTTTATTTTACATCCATTAAAAGTGTTGAATTGGTAGTATCGAAAACAATCATCGTAACGGAAGGGGTTTGCGAAACTTCTGATATGATTTTCTTTTTTCTTCTTCTTTTTTTTCTTTTTTCTCCTGACATTTTATATTTCTGCTTTAGCGTTTCTTAGCTTAAATATTCAGATAGTACCAAAAACACATTTTCTATTGTGATTCTTTGTTAATATACCTCAAAGGATGATTTTCACACATAAATAATTTGTTGGGAACAAATGTTTTATATTTCAAAGCAAGTTTTATATTGTTTCCTATACTTTATAAATGTTTCCATCAAAGTACATATCTTACGTAACCTTTCATTGTTAGTAAGTTCAGAGGATTATGTTGCAGGTGATAGCTAAGAAGAGCAAAAACATTTGGTTTCATTGATTTATTAGAGCAAAATCAAATGTGACATAAACAAGGTGATGATCAGAATGGGTTTTCAAGTCGGGAAAGTTTACCTTCCTTCTTCTTCCACTTTCTCAATCGTCACTTCTTGAATAACTATTGTTAAGAATGACATAGCTAATATGAGAGATGCGGTGTAGGAAAGAACACAAATTATTGAAATTCAAACATATTCAATTAAGTTTATAAGCAAATTACCAAAATTTGTAAGCCAGATATTGAGGATATTCTGATGACATACGACACTCTTTCCCATGAATATTTCAGCAACAGAAATTATACTTTCTTTGCAGCATGATGCATCATGTGCGAGATTTGTTACGAGGTGATCTTTAAATCTAAACTTTGACAGAGAATCCAAACATAACGTATGTCTTACCTACCTGAATCTTTTTATGTATAGTACAGAAAACGTGCACAGATTATCTTCTCCCCAGTACAGCACATACAGGTTTTACTGTTTTTTTGTTGTTGTTTTTTTGACTAAATAAATATACATCTAAACTTCAGATATGAGGATCAAGATAAAAGAAATTCTAGTGGTAAATAGTGTATTAGTTACTTAGCGTTACATTTTAACTGTATGGGAATAAATATCGTCCACATGAGTAATTTATCTTCAGAAGCACTCAAATTTCGTTTGTCTGCATATTTCAAACACCTTTCATCTTTCTTGTTCGACCATTTCCGAGGCATGTGTTCTCTTTCGTTTCGAGCCCGAGAATTGTTGGGGGTCTAACGTTCACGGACCGCATGTCGGAGACGGCATTTTGCGAGAAGCACCCCCGCGCACAGCGTGTGACCCCCCGTAGCATCCCGGGGAACACCTGCTTGTAGGCCTCGTTGCCCCAGGCACCACGCCCGCCACTTGTGCCACGCGGACGCTCTTTCCGCATGCGGTACTGCGTTCACGCGTGCGGCTTACCGCACCGCAGCGTTTTATCGCGGGCGCTGGCGGCGGTGGCGGCGTGGAGCGGAATACCTGCGCGCGCAGAGGCGCGACGCCGGACGCTGCGGGGCCGGGGGGGGCATCCTGTCGCGAAGCCGGGCATGTGATTGTGCGATTGTTCGTCTCGCGTTACGTAAAACTCACCGCGTGCACCAGGGCCACGTCTGTCTCGGGCGCGTTGACGGCGGTTTGAGCGGCGGAGGCCGGCGGGCCGGGGGGCCGGCGGTGGCAGCCGGCGGCGGCGCGGCACAACGGCGGCGGGCACGGCGCCCGACCCGCGGCAACACGAACACAGCAGGAGGGCCGCCGCCCGGGACGCCGCCGAGCTGCTTGGCGGGCCGGCATATCGACTGCGCCGGCCGCCCGCCACCGCCCGCGCGAAGCGTCGCGCCTTCCCGGTTCGCACGAGCCGCTGCCGCGCGCTCCGCCTGCGCCGCCGGCCACCCCGCGAGCACCGCCGAGCCCTGCGGACACCCCCGAGCCCCCCACCCCGAGCCCCGGACCCTCCCGCGACCACCCCCCGAGCGCCGCCGAGGCTGCGCAGTGCCGCCGACGCGCGCGAAGACGGACGCGCGGGCGAGTTCGCGGGGAAGATTGAGGGCCGCCCGGGGGAGCGTGAAACCGACCGGGACCGCCCGTCAGAGTGACAGAGGCGCCTTGCGGAGCGGGGGCGACCGCCCGGGCGACGGGGGCAACGCCGCCGCCTCGCGTTGCGCGTGTCGGGGGAAGGGTGCGCGCCGGCCGCGCCGGAACAGGCAGGGCGTTCGCTCCGCGGATTGGCTGCCCAGGGTCAGGGACCACCTTCCGACACGGGCGATGACCCTGCACGTCGTCACGAGTCATTAGGGATTCGGGGAAGCAATTGGATTGATATTCGTTCTCCATAAACTGAAATCTGGTTTTGTTGAATGGATTATATTTTTCACTACGAATCTGTTTTCATCGCTTCTTTTTTAATGAATTACACTTCATTTATTTAATCAATATTTTTTATCAATTATATAGTATTAAAATTTTCTAAGAATGATAATAATTTTAATGTACAATTTCCCCATTTTTCAACATCCACATTTTCCCTAATGTGCAATTATTTTGCACCTGTTTTATTTTAAGGAGCATATTTTAAGATGTAAGGATGAAGAATGAAGTTATTAAAATATGAGGTGATTATTATAAACTGTTTTAAGAAAGTACGCTTACAAAATTATTTCGTCATTTAATGATCAGAGTGAAAATAATTAAATAATCTAATATTCTGTACATTTTTAGTGTATACGTAGTAATTGTTCGGAAAACCCATTCTAAAAATATTATTTTAAATGTGAGAATAACTGCATTAAATTCTCCAAAAAAATACATTTTATTATCTAACTTCACTCAGATCAACTCGTATCAAGTTCGGGAACATCTGCAAAAAGACACATATTTCAAACATTTAGCTAGATCTAGCCGTGTCTTCCTTTTATTGCATTTATTCGTTGTCTATGTTTTAACAAGTTTTCTAATATATTTTTGGAAGAAAGAACGACGTTTTAACTAGTGTTGAACTCTGGAACTGGTGTGAATGTTTGATATATTCACTTCATAATTAGTAAAAGTTGAGATATGAATAATATAAAAATTACTTGATTGTTCCATAGGTTTTATAGTGCCCTTGTTGTTTCCATCAAGAAGAATATTGAACTTCGACATTCAGAGATAATCTCCAATATATTTAAAAATTTTGCGTAGTTTTAGATGAAAAGATTCCCTACCACAAATATCCTACAATAAGCTTCCTCAAACGGCCTATGAACTGAATTACCACTTTTCCATAAATGACATCTCTACTCTCTACTAGGATTAATAATGCGTTTTATCCTAGGTTTTGATTTTTTATCAACTTAAACCATTTGCATTGTTGATGATTAAACCATTTGCAACTAGTGATGATGCAACAGCTACTTTCTCGCGTTATTTGTATCAAGCAATTTTTGAAAATTCATCGAGTTCAATTCAGTTCTTTGAGTATTTCGCCTTTGTTGAATTTTATTTAGGTATATGTTACCAGATCAACTATTAAAAATTATATGCCCGAAACTCTCTTTCAGTTTTCATAAAAAAATTACAGGCTATTTTGAAAGGTTTTTTCTATTTCTTCTCGCTTGTGCGAAAATATTCCATACACAAATATACGACTATTTATCATTATATTTCTATGAGTTCATTATTCCATTGTTTTGTAAGGTGGAAAGTATTCCGTAACTAATCTGTGGAAACTCTTTTCTCTCACGTTGCTTGGGACAATGCCATCTACTACATGAGCAACGGATTATAGACTAATTGCATTTATTTTTGTACATTAAATGCGTTCATTAAATATTTGAAATATTTAATGTTTCTAGACATTTGTTAGAAATATTCAGATTAAGTGTGGTATGCACCATGTAAGTAAGTGTGAAGCGATAAATATTTCCCTCAGAAATTAGGAGGGAACGGGAGAATAGGAGGCCTACTAAGGGTAAAATAAAATAAAAATACCCTAGCAACGATTTTTGCTAATCGTGTTGTTAATTTATTGTAACGTACTAGCGAGCGAACCACGTGGCAGCTATTTAGGGGCGCGTGTTAAGGTATTAGTAACAGGAAACCGCCTCGCCACAGGAGGGAGAGAAGGGTTTTTCCTAAAAGTAAGCACGCGACAAAGGGAGGCACGAGGCTTTGGGGTCCTCCGGTCTTAGGGAACGGAGACCCAAACCTTTGGCAAATAGAAGTGCGCTGCGGAGGCGGCGTGACGTAGGTGGTCACGTGAGCCACGAGAATATAAGGGAGTGCACAGAGGCGATGGGTGGGTTCTGGTGACAGTGGGAGAACCTGGTGCAGTTGCTCAAAAACTTGGCGCCAAACTTGGCGCCACGATTGTGCAGCGGCGAGCAGGGCTCGTGAGGCCAGTCACGTGTTGACGAGCCTGTGGAGGACTTCGTGTCCTTGGGTGACTGCGGTCACGTGGGAGCGATGCTGTGTGCGTGCTCCGAGGTGAGGAGTGCCACGACTCACGCCGATTCTCAATCGGGTAAGATCGCTCCTGCGATAGAGGCAAATCATCAGTTGGTACGCTGGTACGAAATTTGTGTCTCAGTGTGACATCCGGTCACGGAAGCTTGGCTTTGTGCGCGCTTCTGATGTAGGAGTGGCAAGTTCCACTATTGAAACCGATCATCAATCGGGTTGGGATCGCTCCCGCGATCAGGGGATAGCAGGTCTATCAGAGCTAGGATGTAAAGTGTAAATTCATTGTAAATATTTGTTGTGTTTTCCTTGTAAATAAATATTTGTTATATGAAAGCGCGTGTCTGTGTTTGATGTATCCATGACGTCACAATATGTTCTGTTATGTTTGATACACAAAATATCTAAAACAAAAAGCAAATGGACACTTCTGTTTTCACTAAAAAACAAAACTAACTCGAATGGCTCTTATTACCCGATCATCTGGGTAATGGGAGCCCATCACAGGTTAATGGAAGGCGTAGCAAACTTAATCCTTACTAACGGCATAACGTAGCTGTCTTAATGATATTATAACCTAATACCAATGTTTCGACTTCTGTGCATCTATGAATGCATCTTTAACATTTTGGACATTATAAATATATTATTGTTGGTAGCACAAAATGTTCATATAAGACGTTCAACATCACTATCTGCGCAGTCCATGTATGATACATTTTTATACTCTTTACAAACTATGACTGACATTTGATTATTCGTCAGTAAAGCAAAAAAAAACTTATTTTATACAGGAATCATCAGTGTCATTGTTAATGCAAATCGATGAGTTCTGTAGAAAATTGTCACAAACGGCTTCTAGAGCTCCGTTTCTCCGTGGTCTATCCCTCCTTGTCATCACAGTTTGTTTTCCTTTTTGTGCAGTAGAAAATTCATATTTTTTTCTTTCCTTCTTCTTATTCTTTCTTTCAGTGTTCCTTTCATTAATTGTGTTTTCAAAGATGAAGGAATTGAAACTTTCAAATGCCGTGTCTTACGAGCATTTTGGAAGGGGTGGTAACCTATTTTTTTCGAAGGGGAGATTGGCGACAAAATGTTTGTAAAGAAATTTTCATCTTCCTTCTGGTTGCATCTTCCTTTTGCAGAGTGCTCTACGTTCTTGAGCTTTATGACTCTATGACTCTATTTATTCTGCAGACGGACGTTAGTTTTCGTCCCCGTCCATCTCCGAACTGCTGCGAGAACATAGTCTAGGACGCACTGGTTGCAGTCTAAACTATAGTTTGGGGTTCACTCGTAGTTTTAACTGCAAAGTCATCCTTTCTAAAGACTGCAACATTTAAAGGTCAGCAGCCTTTTCGTATTCTATGGCAGCGGTCTTAGAAAATGCTTAATTAAAAATCTCAGCTCTTTCGTATAGGATTATTCTTCTCTGCAGACCAGCTGTTTTGAGAAAGAGATCGCATTCCTTGTTGTAGGCCATTTTTAAGTGTTCGTAAACAGACCGACGATGCGGTTGGCTTGAGAAAAATTGTACATTCGTAAGAAAGTGACCAGAACTGCTTACTACTAAGGCCCGAAATCATGTTGGTAAATGACATCATCTTTCCTTGTGTCTCAGAAAAGATGGTTGGCTTACTTAGGCATGGACGTTTCAGAGCACCATTTCAACCTTTACTTATAGTCCTGTACTTCTTCAAAGTAAAGTAATGAATACCAGAAAATTTTGCAGCCTATAAACAGTCGAGTCACAAGATACACTTCATACCTGCGTTGAGTTCATGTTAAGTTCACTTTGCTTCATCTGTGGCTCATGGACTCTTTCGAGGCTTCACTGGAAACAAAATAAATCGCATTACAATGAGTTTGTTTAAGCGTGATAAGGTAAAAAACGAACGTACATAGAAAACAAGCATGGTGTTAACTGAGCTAGGTTCCAATTTCCCCTTCCTAATAGCTCCTATTATTCGGAGTGGTAATCTTTTCGTTTTCAATAACAAAATGTAGGAGAAAATAATTTTGCACTTCGATTTTAACTTGATCTGGTTTAACTACATGAATCAAGCAATAAATACAGTTTACTAAGATCCTTGTATAATCATGATAGAAAACTCACCGGCTTACGATAACAGGAGCAAAAATTACAGACGGCCAGCCGAAAATACACTGTATCGTCTGTTAGGTAAAGGGCTGCGACACCGCTCGTACTGTGGACAAAGGGTGCACTCTAGGGAACCTTCAACGCAATTCACAGGTTTCTGGCGTTCGAAACTCAATTTATTCGAGATAGGCTCCTATTCTCCCATTCTCCCGTTCTCCCTTACTCATTTACCCACTTGTCCCGTCTCAATTTTCTA